TTAGTAGAATGTCGTTAAAGATTCTTGTAAGAATGGGCACCAATTCTTCTATAGTTCCTTTCAACAGTTCATTCGTTATTTTGTCTGGGCCAGGAGATTTATCCATCTTTTGGCTATTGATTGCCTTTTCGACTTCGCATGTTAGAATTTCAGGTGTAGGGTCAAAATTCGATTCATATGGTATTTTGGTCTCGTTGTGATCATTTGATGCATCCTCTTCTTGTTTAGTATACAGTTGTCGATAGAAGCTTGTGGCTCGATCTTTGATATCTTGGCGTATCGAGGTGACGTTGTTGGTCTTTCTTTTTATTTTAGGTATCCACTCTTTGCCAGATTCTCGCAATTCCTTCAAAGCTTTCTTCACACCTCCCGTCTTTTTAATGTGGTATTCTAGAGTCATCAATCTCTTGACTTTACGATCCTTTCTTATGTTTTCTCTTATTTTTTTACTAATATCAGTGATAAGTATTATGTTGTCTTTTTTTGTTCCTTTTTGGATTAGTTCTTTTCTTTCGTTGATTAATTGCACTGTCTGTGCGCTTAGTTGATATTTGTTTTTAGGACTGTTTTCTTTAGAGAAACTGCTTTGTAGTTCCCTTTCTAGGATGTTATATTTCTGAATTGTGTTCATATTATTATTTGTGATTTGTTCATTTACTTTCTTGAGAGGCTTTGTGTTTTCTAAGTTGAGTTGTGCTTGCTTTTCGTTTTTATGGCTTTTTATGTGGCTGCGAGGGGTTTTTGTTCGACACTTTCTAAGGGAACATCTCACCATTCGGTGATTTGTGTTAAAATTAAGTTTGCTAATAACCGTAGTATCTGTAAACGCTTTAGGGTGATTGCTTATTATGTAATCAATTTCATTTTTATATGTACCATCTGGGGATACCCAAGTCCATTTATTGTTGTGGTGCTTCTTAAAGTTCGTATTGAGGATGAATAGATTGTGTTCCATTAAGAATTCAACCAGCTTTTGGCCGTTTCGACTTCTCTTACCGTGCCCGAACTTGCCAAGTACATATTCGTTATTGTTTTATATATACTATGGTATATATACATATATATATATATGGTATATATACATATACATATATATATATATATACTATGGTATTTTATATATACTATGGTAGTTGGTATTAAATAAAAGACATGGCGAACTTCAATAGTGTGTTAATTTTTGTTTAATGAGAAAACCCAATAGTACATATATAAAGTAGTCCAGTGATAAACATAGTTCAAATACACTCGATTTTTGTTATGATCGTTTTTATATTACGCCTATGGATAAACGAGCAGACGGGTCACCGAATGGACGCAAACTAACTATTAAAATTTAAATTATTTGTTTCAACTCAAGGTTAAACAAACCAAGAATCGGTATAAATAGAACTGCAACTTCCGCGAAGCTACATAATCAGTACCATAAAGCATTTTAAAGTCAATGTTCCGTACAATTCGCACAATTAGAAAGGGTAAACTATGTATAATCAATGGTGGCTCGTTCGGGTGCAGTCGGGTAAATTCGTGAGTTTCCGCTGCTTTCACGTCACGGCGCGCGCGCAAGGTCATGAACACTATTTGTCACAGTTCGAGCTATTTACATGTTAGTCAGCTGTTTATGTTTTGTACTTTGATTATTTACTTCTTTTGTTGCGGTGATACTTGTTTGAAAGACCTATTCAATGATCAACTGATTTAGGAGTTTTTTCAGTGCTGACAATATTGTAGATATCAAATACATAGTATTATAAATCGCTATCAAAGTACTATAATACATCATCAGCAACAGGTGTTGGAAAGGTTTATTCCAGAGCCAAGATAATTTGTTCTTTTAACTTTTGTCATTGCCAAAGCATAGAAAGACTTTATTAAAGTTAAATAGAAAGCAGTTATTTAATTTCTTTTAATTTGACTTCAGACAAGCTGGGCAATGGCTTAGAATGGTGGCATTATATGCAATGCGTAAAAAAAACCTTTTAAAAATTAGCGAATTTAAAGACCTATCGCGATGGAGGTTTGCTATGAACGCCCTCTGCCCTGCCCCATCCAATCCAGGGTATAAAGCAAAATAAGTAGAATAAGAAAACTCACGTAAAGTTTGAAAATCAATCCTCAACGGGAACGTAAAAAAATCCCTTCATTGTGTGGAAATAATGGTGGCTGAAGACTGATAATATTGACATTCACAGGTAATTGGTATTATTGTGTGGACATCAAACCAATTAGCTGTAAATGCGAGGCTGTCAATAGATGTCAATATTGTATGGCATTCAATGACAATACTTGCTCAGTAAGTTATTGTTGTTTATTTAACAAAGGATGAAACAAAGCAGTCTAGCAGTTTGAGTGTTTACATCGTCAAATGTTCGATTGCGGTGGGGAACCGCTTCGAGTCCTGGAGATCCTTAAGATGTGGGTTCTGTGATTACTGTCTGATCAACTTTATTGGGTGTCCGTGACTTGTCATTTCAAAATTCCAATGGTTCTTAAACGACTTCAAAAAAGGAGGAGGATCTCAATTTTTTTTTATGTTTGTTAGCTCAGAAATCCATCATTTCATCATGAACCGATTTTGAAAATTCTGTTGTTTTTGAGAGGCTGTACTTCTCGTTTAAAGGAAAAATAATAAGGGTGCCAAAATTAAAGAATGAAGAATAAAATTTAACACAATTCATCATGATGATTTTAAAGTCAGCCGGATATTTTTTTAAAGTTTATCAAAACAAGTACAGAGTAATAAAGTCAGAGAGTTTTTCATGAGAACTTCCTAAACAATTAACATATTGTGTATTTCTTATTTGATTTTAAAAGGTATACACACAAAAAATAAGAAGACTGCAAAATATATAAATCACGTATTTTTTGAATGTTGAATATTGCCAACTTTAAAAACTTTCCTTGAAATATTGGAAGCTTTGAGTCTTGGTAATAATATTCACCGCCAATGATATCTCTTTCTATGACTGTCCCTAGATAGGCTGTTTTAAAAGTTGGTTTTTAATTGTATGTCATAACAAAACCGATGGCCGGTGACCCGAGTAATTAAATATTGCCATCATTGGTCGCCGCCATGTTATGTTTTAAAATTAAACAATCGAAAACGTAAGTCGGTCATTAGAAACCTGAGATGTTAAAGCATTTAAGAATCGTAATCGTATGTAAGAACCGTATGTATCTTGGTTATGTCACACAGCAAAAATAAACGCTAGTTACATGCACACTTTGCTTTGATGTCAATTTAAAAGTAAATAATATAGTAATTTAAGTTACTGTAAGTTTCTTTTTTGAACGGATAAGTTACTAAAAATGCGCATCAGTTACTTTTTTTAAATTCTATTGTTTAGGAAGTCGTTTTTTCCCACATTGGCTCACATTGCCCGCATTAAATATTACTAACTTTTTATTATCTACCATACATATAATTAAACCACCCTATCAAGTAGGAAATTAGAGAGAGAAAAATCATCAAAAGGCCAAAATATACCGTGTGGCGACAGATTAAGAACACCGAGTGTCACCACCCCTATTCATACTATGGGTGTCGTAAGAGTCGACTAAGGGAGCAAAACTTGAAGCAAACCCTATGCTAACCCGTCTGCCCGGCGTGGTATACTATGCCAAGACTTCCTTTCTAGGGAAAGGCCTATATCCAGCAGTAAACTATTACGATGATGATGTATACTAATCGGCTCAATTTTTAGGCCACTTCAATTGCACCAGTTACCCGTGGGTTTCTATAATTCAGGTGAGACCAGGGCTTGTATCACCGTTGTTTTTTTTCCCCGTGTACCGTGAGGAAATATACGGAGGAGGAAGAAATCGTGTTGTTATGTACCATTGTTGCTCTTCAATTTGGAATTTAGATGGGTTCAGTGGACACATTCTGGGGCCGATCTTTCATCAAAGGTGTCTCTTACGGGTCTATGGTGAGGTGGTTATTTAATGCTACATTTCTAATGACCTAGTATAGTTAGAGAAAGGAAAAAATATATTTAAACCTTCAACAAATATGATAAAATAATGCTAACAAAGACTAGCTTCTACAACTCGTTGAAAAGTGAAATCATAGACAATCATAGACGTTACGTGCCCGCGGTAAATTATTCCCGCGCTTATAACACGATGTCTTAAAAGTAAAAGTGTTTCTCTATGCCAGATGAGATGTTTTAAGGTTGTAATTGATTTTATGGTGAATCGATAGTCATGGGAATGTCTGCAGAATGGTTCATAAGAACATAAAATGTGGTAACACAAAATTGAAAACTACGTATTAGGTAATCGATTGAAGGCAATAAATAGTGTCAATTTTGCGTATACAATGTTTTTCTTAGTAAACAGGCGGTTTACCTGATCCTCAGCGGTCCTATAAGACTAGATGATATTGTAAGAAAATATAATAATATAGATGAGGTACCTGCAGAGAGACTGCAAAAACAACAATAAATTCTTCAGAAAATTGGAGTCGTTTATTTTTTTGCCGGACCCGATGAGGGTTGATGTCTAATGGATTGTCAAATCCGATTTCCCGGATTGCAATTCCTAGCGGTACCTTTTCTACCCTTAGTCGGAAAGAATCTATTATACCTGATTTCTTTATGTTATTTTTGACCGAATTGGTCGATAGCACAGCTTGTTTAAAATAAATTGACTTAACGTTAATAGAATAATATTTATTTTACAATGACAAATTATATTATAGAACTTAGCGAAGATCAACAACGTTTTGATATAGTTGATGCTGTGGCAGTAAGTTTTAGACTTACTTAAAATATTCAGTCTTTAATTCAATTCGATAATTCATTAAAATTCTTTAAATAAACAGGAACTGATTATTTACACAAGACCTAAGATTATTTAGTTCAAATTCTTGATGAATGAAAAATTATTTAGGAAACCTGTGTCTAGACCTCAGGTCCACGAGAGGAAACCTTAATTCTTCCAGCAGGAGGTTTAATCGTACTGTTAATACGTGTAAAGCGTGATGACACGAAACTAACCTGTATCGCTACTCCATCCACGGATATCGTAATCTCCACCTTCTTACACTTAGCACCGTCTTTGGCCTCTGACTTCTTCAGTTGCTGTGTGAACTGCAGCTTTTTTATAGCATCCTTCACGACTTCTATGCCCTTGGGCTGTTCCACTTGTGTACAGCCGAGGAACTGGAAAGAGATGGGAAAAATAATTAGTAAGTTTGTTAAAGCTAGCTAAACTTAATCCTGGCCCTATTTCGGCACAAATCGCCCGGAGTGATACCATGATCTCACAGAAAACCGGTGTCAAGTAGTTTTTCACCGAGTGAGTGAAGTTCCCAAAGCCCAAACCTTCTCCCTTCTCTTGATTCGACAGGGTAGGGACTCAAATGCCTGCAACTCACTTGTGACTCTTGAGTTGCAAGTGTCCATGGGCTGCGGTAGTCACTTACTATCAGGTGACCCGTCTGCTCGTTTGCCCTTCTATACTGTGGCGACTCATCTATCGAAGACACACCGAACTATGGAGTAACTCCTGAATGAGAATTGCTAATTCTGTATCGCGATATGAAGGATTCTCTTGCCTACTAGCATATTTACTACTTCTCAACATTAACCGTTGGACCGCGACCCGCCGCATGATTACTTCGCCTGGTCGGAGGATCCTCCCTTTGTGTTGGAAGGACATGACACCCGTTCCTCCACATAAACCATAAAAAAGCTACCCTCCATTCTAGGCAGGCTACACACATTTCATCCAAAAATCCTAGTGTATCTGAGTAACGATAGGTTTTTAAAAGCCGGCTGATATTGATGCTATATCTCTAGTGACACACATTCTATTGGCTTCATCTCTCTTCACTATCTCTATCAGAGGAAGTGGTGGATAAATTTGTAAGCTTATACCCTATTGTATGAATCCATTGAGTTAGATAATGAAACAGTAAGTGCGTTAACCCTCTAACTCTTAGTTACATATGGTGATACCAAAAACTGGCAAGGGATATGTAGGAGTAAAACGGATGTACATAAAAAACGATTAAAAAGCCAAAATTTCGAGTTTATAGGCTTGGGCCTATAAACTAAAAATTTTGGCGGCTTAGGTTCTGCTTTGTTGAATCAGTAAGTGAGTAATTTTATATGTATAGATTCTGTGTTAATGATGGGTTTATAATTACGCAGTAGTTCCCTAGGACTCGGTCTTTGTTTAAATCTAGTGTTTATCTCAGAAAAACAATAAACAATTGTTTTCCGCCGATCTAAAATAGATAGAATATCTGTACATAGCAAGTCGCGCGATAGAGTTATTATCTAATTATACAACAATAGCCGTAAGAAATGAATGAACGCGTACAAAAGTCCCAATAGCTTAGAATAAGACGGTTTTTTTAAACATACTTTCCATGTTTTGCAATTGTTAATGAGAATTCACGCCTTCGCAATCCAACATTAAAAATTGAATTAAAAATTATAATATTTTGCTACAAACTTTGTTTATTTCTTTTATGCGTTTGTGGAATGCATTACAATACAAAATAGTATACTTTTAAGGAACTTTCGAATGAACTTTATCATTACTACCGACTCCGATTTTTTATTCTACGATTTAACATTTATTTTGTACAAGTTGTACAACGTCCATATGATTTTTAACATATCGAAACTTACTATTTTTTTAATGTTCTACAAATTTAGATTAGTGTTTACATATATATTAATATCATCATCCACGCTGGCCAGACCGGTTGGTATAGGGTTTGTGTCAAGTTTTTCTTCTCTTTACAGTGCTGTTTGTCCTGCGTAGTTTGCTCCCTTAATCGGCTCTTACGACATATCATCACGCGGATATATAAACATACAGGCCGGCGCCTTCTAACTTTAAAGTCCGACTTGTAAAAACATCTGAAAAGATTTACTTGCAGAAATAAATATCATTTTATTTCATCATCATCATATCATTTCATTTCATTACAAAGAATATGGAAAAGTCCTATTTTTATTAAAGTCGGTTGATATAATAGACAACGGTCAGACAATAGTTAATTAAAAGAGTAATTGTTCCAGCTCAGTGGTGCTACGCCCCCTCGCCAGACATCTGCCGTAGATAGGTTACACGTGCACTGATAATGTTATCACTTATCACTGAAGCTTTATGATAGTATTGTTTATATACTAACGCCAGTTGCAATAGACAACCATCATTTTGTTCACTTTTGCAACCGACTACTAGAGACCTATTTCTTAGCGTTCCATGGATTCACAATTCATGTGATAGATAGGGGCAACACATGTGACTTCGACAGGGGAATTGCAACCCAGGGATAGGTCTAGGGAGTACTCCTTAAGACGCGTCAGCGCCCACCTCCACTGTCTGCTGTGTTAGCCCCTCTTCCTAACCATATTTGATACGAGCCTAGCAAGGCCGCTTTAGATATTCGTTCTAGAAAAGAGCTTACTGAAGCTCTTGGCAATACAAGGTCTTTAAGCAGGTTATAGAGGGATTTAGCTGGAATACCCCACCCACTTCCACTGTAAACAACGTAACGAAGTTTCCAGTTATTTTTAAACTAATACGTATATTATAAAGCTGTAGTTTGTTTCTTTGGTTGAACGCGCTGATATCAGGAACAGTTCGAATTGAAATTTTTTTTTAGTGTTGGATAGCCCATTATTCGAGGAAGAATATAGGCTTTATAACATCACGGTACGGCCAATAGGAGCTGAACGTCAATGAAAAATGTTGCAAAAAAATCGGAAAATGTATTCCTTATGAAAGAGGCACACAAATTTGCGCGGGACAGATATTCCCCAAAAATTAACTTTTAAAACGTATCACCGACTTCAACGTGCTAAAATAATGATGAATTCAAATGAACTGTATTCTTTATTACTTAATTTGCCACCCTTAGACCACCAATTTAATTGGTTCAAGAGTAAAGAATACCTTCCCAAGTAAAAAAAGATTTTTCCAAATCAGTTTTGTGGTCCCAAATTTGGTTGTAATAATTTTTTGTTTGTTACCTCGAAATTCGGTCATTTGTGTATAGATTTAGAAAATTATTTTACTGAGGGTGAAAAATAATGGAATAGAGAAGTACAATTCATCGTGATACAGGACCATTGAGGTCGGTGATCTGGCTATACCTACATATAAAATTCCTTGCTCTGACTGATTCATCAACAGCTACACACTTAAAGTGTTGGCAGCTGATAATTTTTATGTTATAAGTACCCACTACAAAAAAAAGTTTTCGGAAAAATCACCCCTAAGGAGGTAAAATAGGGGATAAAAGATTGTATGGAAGTTCGTCGTTTTCAAAGTCAGAAAGACGAAATAAGCGAGCGAGGCCTATAGGCCAGTACTTTATAATAGTGATATCATCATAAGAGATACATACCTTCACTGGGTAAGCAACGTGTCCTTTAACGAGAGCGTCGGGCGCATGTAACCAATTTCTACCATTGGGGGCGCCATTCGCCTTGCCCTTTCCCTGCCAGAACAGCAGGGTTGACATCCTGAAACAAATAGAAAATTTTATTAAAAATAATATTCAATTACTGTTTATTTCAGTAACAGTCTTTCTTAAAGTATAGATCGTGACTATCTTCTTTGGAGTCTGATCACATCAAGATGCGATCGGGATGTAACGTCATTGCGCTGATTGCTTCTAGCAGGATAGAGGCTGGTTAGGCGAGTCATCGATTCGTGTTCCGGGACCTCCCTAGATTAATTTGGGTGGAAGTACTACATATTTCTGGCTTTTGCATCACCACGATGGTGATCATCCCCCGTAATCTAGAGATCAGATGAGATTTTCCACCCCGTCACCATTAAAAAAGGTCAGAGGGGAGGAAGGGTATGGCACGTGTCTATGGTGATGATAGTCGTTTTCATATCTGCTCGTATGCCCACTATTACATAAAAATAAAACTGTTTTCTTTTCTCATTTGTGGGAATTATGATAGATAAAGATTTATGATAGTGCGCAGGAGTTTGTGTTTTTGGTAATTTTATTAAAGAACACAGCGAATTTGTTAGATAATAATTTCTGACGTTGAATATTCAAAATCAAGATGTTTCTTGTAAACGTGATGAGGTTTTATCATCTTTTAAACTTGTTTCTTTTGAACAGTGCGTTAGGATTTAATTTTAAAATACGCAGAGGTCAAAGCGATTGCTGAATATTTACGAACCATGGTCAAACTTAATTATAAAAACTTTTGCTTAGTTTTGTATGGAAATTTTCTAATTCTTAAGATAACATGCATACACGAGTACGTATATACTAGCGAGTAGTAGCCGTGTATTTTTTTATTTGTATGTTATTGTATATTAGAAGATAGATGTATGCCAGAACAATAGGGGCTCATGGAGGTCATAAGTCCCCTGAGCTAAGTCCAAATTGTACGATTTTAAATAATAGGTAATCCACTTGCATGAGTCACACAAAAATTATCCCTTAGTGGCTTGTACTAGATATGTTTTAGAGCAATAAATCTGAAATAAAATGACAGCATGGTTTTTTAAGTCCTTCACCAGTTGTCGCACTTAATCACACCCATATTATACACTGAAGGAATTAATTACTTAACTACTTCATGATTATAAATGATGTCTGTCTATTGATGAAATTTGTATGAGAATCCGCTTAGTACTTTCAGAGTTTATCGCGTTCAGACAGACATTCACAAAGACATGGCGAGGACCTTTTTATTTTATATAGTAAGTAGTGCTGTTTTTACGGTTTCACTCGTATAAAAGGAATTTTGACATCCTTCGAGAATATTACCTCTTTTCTGTCAAGTTAATTGATTATCGCATGAACGGTGACAGCGCATGAAAGCGATATACATATATGAATGTTTACTGGTATAATGTTTGCCTCGGTGGCACATTGGGAGTTTATGCGACTACTGTCCGGTCTTGGGTTCGTATAATATGCATGTATTTACAAAAAAAGTATACAAGTATTCTAGCAGTCAATCTAGCTTTCATAGTACAAGCTCTGGTTAGTTTGAAACTAGATGGCGTTGTTGCCAGATGTCCAAAAAAAAAGAAAATGGTAGATTACGTGAGAATGGTATGTTTCCATAGACTGACTATGGAATTTCAAGTATTAGTTATGTAGAAATAGATGATTCAATGCTAATTGTGTCAGTATATCTTTATCTTATTCGATCATTATACTATTATATTCCATGACAATTAATTCCATTTAAATTACAATACAAGGTATATGTCTCATCCGATTCCAATGTTACAAAGTTCTTGGAATTTCATGCCAGGTTTTCTCCATAGGAACTCTGACTGACTACTACCCAAGATCTCTTTTTCTTCTGATCATTGCAGAAATGATTTAATCCACAAGCACGACTGGAATGTTGGTCTAGCGGTTAGTGGTCCTGACTGCTAAGCCAGTGATCGTGGGTTTGATTCCCCACCAGGACAAATAATTGTGTGATGAGCACGATCATTTGTCCTGTTTCTAGATGTAATTATCTATACAAATAAATACAATTGAAGTGTCTGTTTGTAATGTCAAAATAATAGGTTTCTTCATGCTCACTCGGTTATTTGCAAGATGAATTTGCCTAAAAACCAGTTTAAATATTTTGACTGTCTGTCAGTTTGTTCCGGCTATAATTTTTAAAACGGCTGTACCGATTCTGATAATATTTTACTTCCAGGTAGCTGTCTATATAATAAGTAACTTAGGCTATATTTTCTCTCAGAAAAACCCTATAAAACTTTGTCCGGTTCGGGAATCGAAGCCACTAATGCAGCGCTTTTCAAAAACGAAGTCGCAGGCACCAAGCTTGTCTATAATATGTATGTATTTAAAAATATACCACTGATGATAGACTACTGCTGCCCATGACGTTACACCTGCAGCTTAAGAGTCATAAGTGAGTTGCCGCTCGTCGAGGCTCCCTCCCGTCCCCCAGTAACAGGGGGAAGGAGGGTCTGGGCTAGGGTATCATCACTTATGTGGTGCAAAGCAACGAAAGAGCAGCTTAACACCAGGTTTCTGTGAGGCCGTGGTTTCACTCCGATCGAGCCTGGTCCATATGTGCCGAGGCATTACTCTCCTACGGGAAACGACGACTCACGAAAATACATACTTATAAATGTGGAAGTGAGTTTGTTTGTTACGTTTTCACGCCTAAACCATTAAAACGTTGTTCAAAATTCTTTCACTAACGGAAAGCTACATTATCAGCGAGTAACAAAGGCTAGTTTTTAACCGACCTACAAGCGGGCGGAGCCGCGGGCAGAAGCTAGTATAGTATCTATTACAATATTTAAATCAATCTGTAATATATACATATGTTACATGGAAAATCAATACAACATTTTTTTTTATTGCACGTGTAAATAATTTGTATTAATTATTTAAATGAGATCGTGTGTGGATTATGTACGTAATAAGGATTGTTTTTATAAGTTTGTAGGAAATAGGTAAAACAGTGAACATGATAATAAAGTATACTTATTTTTATTTTTATTTAAAATATTTTTATGCTGTTGAATGTTAAAAATAACTTTAAGAAAATAATAATTTCATACGTCCCACACTCAGCAGTCTGATCCCAAGGCAGAGCAGGCATGATAAACATACTTATATAGTTCTAAATACATACATATTACACATAAATTACACCCAGACACAGAACAAATGATCGTGCTCATCACACAATATTTGTCCTGGGTGGGAATCGAACCCACGAATTTCGGCTAAGCAGTCAGGGTCACCAACCACTAGACCAACAGGCCCGTCATCGCAAAATTGATTTGAACTGACTAAATTGATTTAAACGTTAGAGAGTCACCAAAGGTATATCGAGGTGGGCTCATCATTACAGAAAATCGCTGTTGAGGGGGGGAGGGGGGGAGTTGTCACTCAACGTGTGGCAACGCTCATGTTTGAATATTGAAAATTTAATTATCACATCACATCAACAGCCTTTAATAGTCCACGCAAAAACTTTGAATAAAAACTTCTTGTTGTATGTATTAGTAAAAGATCATACATAGTATGTGCTAACAGTAGGTACTTTTACCCAAAAAAATACTGTTCCCAAAGGTTAAACTAGAAACATGCTAGCAAATCCGCTGACAAAATCTATTTGACGAAACCCTAAAAGAATGAAGACGTCCATCATTTAAAGTGGTCAGTTTTTCTTTTTCTCCTGAATTAGGAATTTATCCAGGACTCAGAACAACAATTTGTGGATGAAGACAATGTGTTTGTTTGAACCTACAATACTCAGCACAGTAGGGAGCCGCAAGGTGACCGCTGAAACAAGCCGTGCAGTCAACTCTCAATACTCAATACATTTATTGCATTCCATAATGTGATACAGATGTCAGGCTTACAATTATAGACCCTGTCGGGCACAGCACAATGTTAGGAGAGAGGAAGAGTTTGTAACAATTATTATTATTTGTGCCTAGACAAAGTTTATGATAATAATAACAATAATAAAGTTTATTTCTCTTCCACAAAGGTTCCTTAAAATTAAAACTTATAAATAAATTGAGAGTACGTGGTTTTTAATTCCTTTGTGGGAGACTGGTATCCGCACTAGGTCTCCCTGTCACACATGATGTATATTATTGCACACATCTTATATGATATTATTGCACTATTCACATCTAAAGTAATTACATTTATTTTTATATTTTATCAATTAAAATATTTTCCATTTTAATTTAATTTTCTTTTTTTTTTATTTATATAGCCTATTAAAATATTTTCCGTTTCAATTTGAAAGAATAAAGACGTCTTTTATTTATGATAGCTAGTTGCATCTAATGACAAAACTCCTCGCCTATAAAGCACCTTCAATTATGTACTCCACTATTCAAATTATCACCTATCTTCCATTTAATCTTGTCGTGATGATTCGACACGACCGTGATGTACGTCTATTAATTGTCGCTGTCAGTATCGAATATCATCAGACACGAACAGTCAAGGTTGACAATATAATTATAAACCCAATAGGTTAGGCTTAACTATTGTAGAATGTCCGTGTGGTGACGGATTACGAATACGAAATGTCGCCACCCCTATTTATCCTGTGGGTGTCGTAAAAGCCGACTTAGGGAGCAAACTACGCAGGACAACAGCACTGCAAAGAGAAGGAAAACTTGAAACAAAGCCTATACCAACCCGTCTGGCCAGCGTGGTACAGTAGGCCAAAACCTCCTTTCTAAGGAGAGGTCTATGTCCAACAGTGGACTGTTATAGGCTGTTGATGTGATGTGATGTTGCTCCCTTGGTCGGCTCTTACGACACCCACGGGATGTACGAGGGCGGTATTCTTAATCGTTCACCACACGAAATGGAATTTGTCCATCTAAAGCCATAAATGTCCAGTTGACGGTAATAAGCTTGGACTCGTAACGTAAGTCCGATTACAATGACTAAGTACTAAGTGGACCTTCGGTCATATAAGAGCGAGTGTATGTTTGTATGACTTTCAAAGCTTAAAGTCGACTAGTTATAACA